CAGCAATAGCAAGTTTGGGTTCTGTGGTGTGAGCTGCCAGAAGAACATCTGGGCAGTCAAGGAGGATTGGAAGGTCATGAAAGTGATCCAAGTTCCCAACGATGGTGGCTTGGAAGACACAGCGTGCCTTTCAGCAGCAATCCATATCCATCATTCCAACTCGAAGTTCTTCAAGCTTGATGGATCCTGGATCAGCTACTAGCTAAAGGAAAGTTCTTTACATGGATGTCATGTTTGCAGCAAATGCCCAATGAAGGCATGTCCTAAAAAGATGGTTTTAGGGGGCATTACAATGTGCTGAGGTGGCTTGTAGGGAAGCAGCAGAGCATTGTGTTTGTGTCACTCCAGGATGCTGATGTTTATTGGAGTTTTTTGCAAGAAACAAAAGGAGGCCTGGGCTTAGCTTCAAGTATATGCAGGACATCTTGGTTTAGTGCTTTCAAGCACATTGATTGATGGTTTATTTTGTCCAGATTAAATTGGGATGAAAAAAACTAACACTGTCTAACATACACTCTTTCACTTTAACAGAAACTTCAAATGTCTTCCAAATACCATTTAGGTTTTTGTTTTATTCTACAACTCTTCTTTAAAATGGGATTCAATAAGTGAGCTTTGGAATGGATACAAAGGATTTGCCAATGGTGCAGCTATACGTGAAGGTGGAGCTAGGTAAATTGCGGGACATCATTTAGCAGGGTGGACAGCCAAGTTGTTGTGGATGTCAAAGCCTAGAACATGCACCACTGTCCCAAAAGCCATTATGTTGCAATTGAGTAGTCATGAATGATAGAGGAAGGTGCTGATGACAAGCTATGGTCATCCTGGATTGCCTATAGAAGTCTAGGTCGTACAAAGTGGTGTCACAACTGAAAATTGCACCAGAAGGCAAGTGGAAAGCTCAAAGTTGAGGAAGCCATGCTCCCCCTATCATGCTGTGTCCAAGAGTGCCAGAAAAATCTCTTATATCCAAGAGTCCTGCTGAAAAGGTACTAAAGTTGTGAAAAAGCTGTAGAGTGCTCACGTCCACCACTTTCATTGCTGTGAAGTTGTTAAAAGAATGAGGTGCTCTGATTGACTGCTACAGGTGTGGATGGCCATGGTCCAGAGCTGAGTGTGGTTGAAAAGAGTCACTGCTCCAAGTCAAAGTAGGAAAAACATGCTGGAATCTTGAAAATGCCACCTTGCAGGATCCTAAGTTTTGCAAGCTCAAAACTCTCATGCAGCATGTCCAAACTTGTTGGAAATGGATGGAGAGAAAACTAGAAGAGTCTCCTGAATATCATTGTGAAGGCCTAGTGTCAGAAGCATAGAAGCAGAACTCACTATTTAATAAAATTTATGTCAAGCATCTATGATAAGCCTAGAGTACTTGAAAGTCACACATTAGTGCATAAGGGGTGGATACATTGCCTTCACAGTTGGCCAAAGAAAGCCTCTAATAAAAACTCTTGGAATGCTTTTGTCAGAAGATTCATAGGCAACTATTCAAGAGCACAAACTTTATGCTCTTTGATAATGGTCTTTTATATGCTATTAATGATGTTTGAAAACTAGGAGAAAATCTTTGGTGTGGTTTGGCTTGGGATTGCGACTAGCTGCACCAGACTACTGTTATGGTTGCAGAATGACAAAGGGCTTTCGTTGTCATTCCCCTTGGAACAAGCTACCAAACACATGAGTTAATTAAAAACTAACTTGAGACCTTCAATCCCCAAGAAGGATCATGCGAGTGGTCGTGAGTAAGGATAAGCTTGACATCACTAGAATACTCTGAGTCTTGAGCAAATAAATGTGCATTGGTGATAGGTTGGAATACAACAAAGATAGGGATAGGGGTCGAGTATTAACTCTCCCCCTTAACTACTCCTACATGGTGGCAATTACCATTTCTTCCTGAGTCCTGACTATCAAGATTGTAACCTTGAGTGTTAAGGTCGTAATCTTGAATGTCAAAAAAATGCTCAAATGCATGCTTAATTTGATATACTTCACTCTCCCACAACTAAACAGAGCTTCGTCTTGAAGCCCCTACTACTCCATTGCATCGGTTGGCTTTGTTGGCACTGAATTTCCTGCGAGTTTGACTTGGAATTTGTTGAGTCGCTAATGGAACTCTTCATCATCGTCATTCTCCTCGTCGTGTTTGCTTTCATTGTCGTCTTCCATTACTGCAGGCTGCTTTGCCATCAAAATGGGGATCTCATTGTGGAGGTCTGCATTTTCTTTAGCGAGCTCATCATTGATGCATTGTGTCTCCGCACATACTGTCCCTTGGAAGGACATACCTCAAATGCTCCTTTTGAGCTGCTGGATGTCGTTCTGGATCTTGTTGAGCTTTGCATCTAGGGGCTGGAAGACAACTACGTTGATTATGGCCTATACTCCATTGTGTAGAAAGATGCTCATTTATTCGTTGTGGAACTGTCATGCAAAGTCCGGCAGGATTGGCATCTGTGGCGTTGGTTGGAGGCGTTGGACTTCATCAACAAACTGAAGGAACACCGAGCTGAGCAGCCTGTGTGGCAGCTCTAGTTCGCATTGTTGCTCTTGCTTTGGCTCCCTGCATCATTCCTGGTCTGGACGCTCCTTGCTGTGGTGCTCTCGGTGCTGAGGCATAGTGCTGTCGTCAACTGGTGCTTTTGTAGGTGGGGATGCTCGCCCTTCTTTCTTGGTGTGAACTGCTACACTATTGGTTGGGGTGGTTATGGAGTCAAGATTGATTTCTTGGTTTTGTTCCTGACTCTTTTCCTCCAATTCTTCCTTGGAGATGATGCTTTCGATTTGGTTTGTGGTTGTCCTGTTCTTTGGGGGTGAACCTGTTGTCATCTTGGTTCTTTTTTCTGGTGGAGTCATTGTCAGTGGCAAAAGCTCTTTTTTGTCCTCTTGTTCTTCCTCCTCTTCATCTCCTTCATCGGATATATGGAGCGGATCCTCTCTTCTCTTCGATTTGCATTCCCACTTTCTTCTAGTTTGTGGTGTTGTCGGAGGTACTTTCACGCTGAGTGAAAATTCCGAGTCAAGAGCTGACACAAGTGCAGCCACATAGGGGAATGCAAGTGTTTCACATTTTTGGCTGCTATGGATCAGTTTTGTTGCCAAGTGGATTTCCTTAATGAGTTTTTTGTGGAGGTAACTTGTGATGTCCACTTTGATTTTGTGTTGCAAGTCATAGAGGATTGCAATGGCTTTGCTGGTGGAGCTACTTGACTTGCACATCTCGAGAGTTGAGATGAGAAACTTGAGCCTTGGCTTTGCTTCATCGGTGATGTTACTCATTTGAAGTGAGCTTCTGGAGTTGTAATTCTCAATGATCTTGATGCATCCCGGTGGCATCCCTTTTGTTTGCAACATGGATGTGACTTGCTTTCTGTTGTTTGGAAGCTTGACTACCCCTGCAATGTAGCCCGTGGTGAAAATATATTTGAGTTCTTGGGCACACACCATTTCTTCTCGAAAAGCTGGAAGCATTTTCTTTGCAATGTCAATCTTGTACTCTTTCTCTATGATGCGGGAGAACTCATAGAGGCCTATAGCTTGATTTCGGTGTTGTAGATCCTGATCTCGGTGCTTGGAGATATAGCCGCAAATGCTAGAGTTAGGGTTTTGCCCTTTGCTCTACAGTGTTGAGTTCAAGTCTCTGTAGTAGCCAGTAGAATTGGGAAGGTGTTTTTTTGGGTTGCATTATTGAGCCTTTTGTAGTTGACGTAGACTTTGAGTTTGCCATTTTTCTTGAGAATAATGACAAGTGGTGATAGCCATTTCAGGTTTTGAATTAGGTAGATGAAGCCAGCATTCTCAAGCTTGTCAAGTTCTTCTTTAACTTTCGTTTGCATGTTAGGGTTTATTCGATAGGCTACTTGCTTTCTTGGTATAATTTGAGGTAGCGATTCGGTGCATGTAGATCTCAGGAGGAATTCCTCGCAAATCTATATTTGATCAAGCAAAAATATCTTTGTACCTGTCAAGAAGATTGATTGCTTTTGTCTTGAAGTCAGGGTCAAGCAAACCTAACACTGATGACCTCCACGAAAGGACGCCATTCTGAGCAACCTGGTCTGGATTTTGGAGGAGGTTCATGTTGAAAGCCTTTCCAGCAGCATCGTAATTGTAATTCCTGTATATATACACTTTAAATATTGAATATAACATTTCCAGCTTACCAGGTGAGCTGCAAAGGTCCTCTTCCATAGTAAGCCTTTGTACCTGCAGGACATGGGATCCCACGACTAGTGTCACAATAGACGTTGTTTCGGTTGATCTCAAATGTATTGCAGTGCTACAGCCAAGCAACCATATACAAACTTCAAGACATTAGTGATATTAATGGATAAATGCTATCCGAGTTTACTTCCAGTCTCCTGCTTCACATTTGCAAAGTAGGCCGCCAGTTCCCTCTTTTGAACATCAAGACTCCCCGTGCTTCCAAACGTGGGATAGTTTTTTGTTGCCGCAATGAAATCGTTGTATTTGTAGAAAGGATTCGCAATGTTGGATGGGAAGAACTTCCTAAACACAGACTCAGTTATAATGCTAGAGGGAGATGCTAGTGTAGAGAACGGAGAAAATCCTGAAAGGCATAGCATAAACATTATCATGACTAATGCCATGGTACTTAAAATGATAGTATGAGAACCGTGGTTGTGCAATGGAATTTTGGGGCCTTGAGTGGGATTGCGATTTATACGGACTTCATAGCCTTGAAATGCCGTGTAGATATTAACTTCTCTCCTTGGTCGAAGCACGCTAAGAAGAACTTGCTTGTAATACAAGTGACCAAAGAAGAACTTGCTCGTAATACAAGTGACCAAACTTTGAAGGCATCTATTAAAATTCATTGTGCACTAAAATAAGATAATATCATAAAGAGCCCTAGTGAATTCAAAGGAATGGAGGGAAATATTTGATTTGGCTAGGGTTTAGGTCTGCGAAGAGGAAGCGTCCTAGGCGGTGTTCCATGCGGTAATCTCAGCAATGCTCCGGGGCCGTGAGAGCTTGATTCGTGTTGGGAAGCGGCAGCGCAATGTGTCACTCCCGGCTCGGGTGAGTGATCGAGCTTCTATTTCTTGGGTGGATCTGTGATCGTTTTCCTGCAGGAAGTGTTGGAGTGCGGTGATGTTTCGCTGGAAATAAAAGGAGGCCTGAGCTTAGCTTGTTGTGACTGGGTGGAATGCCCTGTGTGTGGGAAGCAAATACGCGGGAATGAACTTCTCGTCAACTGCCATCTTGGTTTGGATTTTGCTCTGTTTTGATTCAAGCACGCTGATCGATGGTTTCTCTTGTTCAGATACTTGCCTGCAAAGTGGGAAGAAAAAGAAGAACAGTGTCCAGCATACACTCTTTCACTTCAACTTGTCGAAAAAGATAGAGTACGAGGAAAGCGGAAACTGCGTACTAGCAATCCAGCAGTCTCCTCCGCTCGAGACTGGGGTCGACTGTAACACGGTGGCAGGGTCTCCGAAACCGGAAGTTTCTTCTACTCTTGAATGCTTTGAGGAGCCCGACGTGTCCTTCCGGCAGAGCTCAACAGTGAAACTAGAGATATTTACAATGGCTGCCTGGAGGCAAGGATTGCTGGGCGCAAGTACCACAGAGACGTCGAGTGCCAATCTGGGATGCGAGTTCACCTGGTAAGGGAACCAGAAAATCCCATGGATACATACGCTGTGAAGGTAAACTTGACTGAATGGACGTGTTTCATGGCTGACAACAACATTGCGCCAGGTGCTTACGGCGGATGGGCTTTCGCTGGGACATATTCCAAAAGAGCTTTCGCGTTATTTGTCTCCTCTCATGGACAAAGGCGTGGTAGACGTTCAGGTAATAATCTCTGGGGCGTTTTTCAATTGTTCACAAAGCTTTCAGGGATATGTCTCCGAGAGTACATCGGAAGCTGCACGCCTCAAGCTTGATTTGCGTGAGATCCAGAGTCGGACTATTGGAAGTCTCTCAGAAGAAAAAGTGCTGGCTGTCAAATGGAGCCGTCTGATGGATGCAGCTGACAAGGGACAAGACCACGGCTGTCGATACCAACAGAATTTTCTCTACATGCTCCAAGTGGTATTGGAACGGGATCTCCATCTCTTTACTCCAGACGAGATCGAACTTCTCGAGGCATTTCGTTCAATCTCGTCTGATGGACAGCGCCTTTTTGTAAGATTGGCTCAACGAAAGGGTAAGCTCGACGCCGTCGCACAAACTGTGACTCAAGGGAGACAGTGGTTTTTGCAGGGCCATGGTTCCGTCTTCAGAACATCTTCTATGAAGATATTGGTGACACAAATTCTGCAGTCCATGAGTTAGTCGGTACTCAATTTCTTTCATCGTGGACTTCATAATATGTTTGCTCCCTTGTAACAGAGAGACGCTACTTAGTTTTCGACGCGGACGTCAATTCGTCTGAGTTGCTTGAACATCTGACTGTACAAGAGCTCAAAGATTTGGCAGTGAACAGCAAAATCATGGTAGTTACTTCTAAGACTTTCTTCCTTGTTTTTATTTCTGTTCCTGCTTACAGATCAAAAGTGCTACGCTAAGTTTGAAAAAGATTCAGCTTATTACAGCAATTCGAGATGCATTGATTTCGCTGCATTTGTAAGTAGCAAGTGATCATTGGTTTTTTATACAAGCGTGAAATACTTGGCAGCAGTAATCTAACGGCTTTAATTCGTGAAGCAACCGGCCCATGCATTCGAATAGCCGAAACAGTTGAAGTTCTACTTTGGCGTTTACAGGTCAGTTGACATCCTCTCCAAAGTGTTACACTGCTGATGCTGAGCAATTTATTTATTTATTTATTTATTTATTCAGAGGCTGTTCTTTCTAAACGGTGAGCAGGAGTTCCATGTTTTTCTTCTTGTGGATATTGGAAGGATCAACTATCCAAGCTATAGGTGCGCTAGAACAATGCCAGTCTTTGCTTCTCGAGAGGACTTTCTGGCGTATGAGCAGGTCCGTTCCTACTTTGTTATAAAATTTGTCTGACCGTCAAGTTTTCAGGCATTGCAATTGGCTCAGGTGGTTGACATGTCCCTGGAAGCTGGTAATTCTGAGGCTCTAAACTCCTCTTTTCGAAAAGCAAGGACTACACTCGAATTGATCAATGCACACACCGAGATCAAGCATCCATTTTTAGCACGGTTTTCGGCTGCATGGGTGTATGCAACAATCTGTACTGTGGCTGCATCGTTTCTGGAGAAAGAACGCAGGTACGCTCTTTCACCAATGGCGGACAATACTTTTGAACGAAAACTGGCTCTTGACCAGATACGCTGAAGCTGTAAACCTCTTCAAGCAGCTCCTTAGCATGCAGTATTGTCCTGGACGGAGAGGATACTGGACTCTCCGGCTATCTATTGACTTGGAGCACTTACAGCGTTTAGAAGAGAGCCTGCTCGTTGCAGAAAACGGATTAAACGATTTCAACGTCCGAGGAGGGGATCGTATCGCTTTGCAACGGAGGGTTCTCCGACTAGGAAAACTTCCTAGAAGGTAGACAGTACCTCCATATGCAGCGCTTTTAAAGAAAAAACACAAGGTGGTACGTACTGTGTCTTCCAGATATTTGGCCTTCAGCTACAACTCTGTTTCTGAAGGTGACGATTATGGGACGGCCGCTAAACAATGCCAATGGAATGAAGAGCAGATTTTATGGCTACGATGGGCAACAATGCAGTGTGGAGGACCTGGCACTTCAATACTATGCCGGAGAAGATGGAGGCGGCTGGAAAGGAGTCCATTCAGAAAGCGGCATATGGCTGACATTGTTCGGGCTGCTCATGTGGGATGTTATCTTTTCAGACGTTCCAGATGTCTTCCAGACACCTTTTCAGGTTCTTGTTTCATTTTATCGTGGTTGCTCTACAGTTCTTGTTTGCAGACTGCACCATTGGACTTGTGCACGGATTCATTCTATCCAGTCCGAACCTCGCTTATTGAATCTCGTCTTCAAGCCATACGCGATGGTGGAGCTAGGCAACTCGTGGCTGAGACTTGGGCAGAGCACTACGGGACATCATGTAGCGGGGTAAACTGGGAGAAGTACTCCTTCAAACAATAACGGTCTGTATCGGAGGTCCAGGATTGTCGGCGATTTGCAAGCTTCTTGCAGAAGACCACAGTAACTGGACGGCTGGAATGCCTGATCTTCTGCTGTGGAAGGAGAAAGAGGCAAAGCTGGCGGAAGTCAAGGGTCCAGGGGATCGCTTGTCCGAGCAACAGGTGGCCTGGTTTCTTATTCTCTCGGACGCTAATGTTCCAGTGGAACTTTGCAAGGTCTCCAAGACGATGAATGATCGATCCTAGATCGGCTACACCGAGTAGTGCCGGGCCCGAGACGGCTGCGCAGGCCTCAAGTCATAAGAACCAGTAAGCACCCATTGTGGACTGTGAAGAATCCATTGTGCCCTACACACAGCCACTCCAATACCAATAAAATGAACGAGGAGTAAACCTTAGGCCAACCTCCCAACCTTTAATGCATTACAGCTTTAAAGCCATGAAATATTCTTGGAATTTTATTGTGGTTTGTGTCATATGTTCCGGCAGATTGTAAATGTAATTGCCCTCGGGGATTGGATCAGCCTCTGCTGAATAGAAATGTCGAGTAGGTACGGACAGTAAACATAAACCTGTTGGTAACCAATTTGCTATATGCTCTAAAAATATAATACTTATATAGTGAAAATTATATTATCAATCTTACATTACCATCAGATTTGAGCTTGCTGTTGCCCACAGATGTCCAAATACTCTCATCTGTTCATTTGAGGCTCCAATCACCTGGGAGAGCAGAGCAAGGACAATGAATACACAGGCAAACCTTGAGCTCCCTAGCACTAAATTTTGATCCCAAGAGTGAAGAGACAGCACTTTCATTGCTGGAGCCATACTCATACAATGCCGAAGCAATCTGACAGGTCAAAAATAACGAACACAACTTAGAGCACACAAACACAAACTAAATCAGCATTGATTGCTGAGACTATCGTTTGGTGAATCTCCTCTGTAGAACCGATCATTTATGCTCTGATGAGAATCAGAGTGAGGTCACTTTGACAACATTTCTCAGCGTTGATTCAAATATGAGAGTAATTGTTTGGCCTCTGCAATAAAGAGCTTCGAACCAGTGACGAAAGGACCAGAAAATCATGTGGACTAAACACAAAAAGTAAGGAAAATATAAGTTCAAAAATCGCCGCCAGCCCACGTACCTTGTCCACAAAGAGCTTCGTGATGTGATCTCCAAATCTGTTTGATTGAAGACACAGCAAAAATTCCAACGCGTTTAAGCTCACCTGCACATTACAATAGAGGTCTTAGCATCTAGATCTTCTTTTGTATTTGCAAGAGCAACCATTTACTAGTATATTTTCTTCAATCCCTGTACATATTGATTACTTAGTGTTGGATTTTTCTGTTAAGAGAGCTTACCGCAAATGTATCCCTTTCAGCTCTTTCGCGGTCTCCCCATATACGGGTGTCAAATATGCGTAGCACGTTCTCAGCTGGACCACCCTCTAGATGACAAAGCTCTAAATGCCACCAGTTATGACTATGCCTGCAAGAGAAAAAACAGAAACCAGAAGTGAGTTCGTATCACATCTATTTGAAAGATCTTCTCAATCGTTAGATTCCAATGGAAACATTCAGCCCTTCATCTTCCAATCTAAATCAGATTCCTTGGAACGCAATCCTTCCTTTAAGGTGAGCAATGTTCCACGAGGCATAGCGCTACAAGTGAGGCATTCTATCTCAAGCATTGCCTTGTGGACGTTCTCACCAAGTCTGGAGGGCTGGAGGAGGCCGAGGAGCTCATGCATAGCATGCCTGGCATCCGAGAGAATAAGAAACCAGGCCACCTGTTGCTCGGACAAGCAATCTCCCGGACCCTTGGCTTCGACAAGTTTTACCCTCCTTGGTCTTCTGCAAGAAGCATATGAATCACTGACAATCCCGTAATTGTGTGGAGGTCTTCATTCTCCCAGTTAACCCTCCCCACGACGAGTTTCCTAGCTCCACCATCGCATATGGCTTGAAAAGGAGATTCAATAAGCGAGCTTCGGACTGGATAAAAAGAAATCCATGCACAAGTCCAATGGTGCAGTCTCTGCGAAATAACACAAAACAAGGTTTTTTCAACACAAAGAGCCTCTTGCAACGTGCAAACAACAAGAGCAGATGAAGTCCACAAGAAAATGAAACAAGAACCTGAAGTGTGTCTGGAAGACATCTGGAACCAGTTTTTCTTCCCACTTGGCAGGCAAGTATCTGGACAAGACAACCATCGATCAACCTGCTTGAATCAAAACAGAGCAAACTATGGCAACTGACAAGAAGTTCATTCCCACGTTTGCTTCCCACACACAGGGCAGTCACAACAAGCTAAGCTGTTTGACATCACAGCACTGCAAGAAAAAGATTACAAGCTCGATCACTCACCTGAGCTGGCGGAGCATCCTGGAGTGACACACTGCGTTGCCGCTTCCCTACAACCCGAATCAAGCTCTTGCGGCCCTGGAGCATTGTAATGCCACCTGAGCGGACCGGCCGCTTCCTCCTCGCCCTCCCAATAGACCTCAACCATACTCACACAGAAAAAAACCATTTTATAGAACTTTTCATCTGCAAACATGACATTCTTGTAAATAATGAGTTTGGACCATATTTGAGCTCATGAGCTGAAGAGTTGAGCTCATAAGTTGAACTCAATTTTCAATTGTAATTTAGTACAAACATTATAAATTTTAAAATTTTAAAGTTATGGCAAACCTAATAATTTTATAACTCTTTATAAATTATATAGATAAAAATGTTCTAAAGGACATTTCTTGTTTTAATAATTTAAATATTTACTATATGCAATGATAGGGACATTTGTTAGAATATAAAATAAAATGTTTGCAAAAAAAGTATTCTTGTCACTTCTTTAAATTTGTACTCTATGCTTTTTGGCTAGTAAATGTCAGGTTTGTCAGAATTTTAAAATTATTAAATTTGAATTAAGATTCTATATAAGGCTATATAACCATTTGAAAGGAAAAAATAAACAACTATGATACTATATATGCTCTCACAACACATTGCAACATCACGCATCCGAAAAACTACCATGAAATATTGTTTGAGATGGTAAAGACAAAAATGGAAACTCACGAATACTATGGGCAGTATTGCGAAAAAAACACTTGCAAGTATATAAAATGAAAAGTGAAATAATAAAATATTTTACTAATTATATAAGGTATAATAAGTTTATATTATTGATAGAGAATAAACATCGATAGTGCTGGAAAATCTAATGAGCTCTAAAAATTTTCTACAACTCAGCAATAGTAAGGCTTGCTTGGTGTATATAAATATCCACTTTAGGATCTTGGTGCAAGATGTTAATAAAGATGTAGTACATATGCTTGCAAGGAGCATATGCCTTCTTATATTCCTCACGCTTCGTAAAGTCTGGACATATGCAAGAAGGAAAGTCTTGAATGGCAATTGTGTACTTTCCACTTTCTGTTTTAACTATGTACTCCTTTGCAAGCGCAATGATGTATTTTATAGAGAGAATTTCACACTCAAGTGTTTGAGCCAAGTTTATTTTACCTTGCTTTTACTTGGAGACGGTTCCAATAAATTTAACTACTTTACCTTTTCTTACTAGCCCCTGTGCATCTCTATAGGAATAGTCCTAGTTTTATCACTCATGTCTCCAACTCTCCTTTTAAGATTGAAACCAGATTTCTTAAGGTTTTTAATCTCATCCGAGGTGAGCTCAACCCCATTAACAACCGGCCATTCTTTAGGTATTGCATCAAGTTTAGTCACTATAGTGTCTTCAAGTCGCTTTATATGGTTGACATTAGTGTTGCAGCAATATAGCCAACACCATCTTGAAAATCCTATTTGCTTTCATTCCCCATGGAAATATGGGGCTAGAACAGAAGTAGACTTGTCACCACGGATCCAAGCCCAACACTTGCCCCTCAGAAGCATCCCTATACACCTTACATTTGATTTTGCTGGCACTCGACGGATTGCCCATTGATTCGGCTCCACACTACAATAAGCAATTTCAACCTGCTATGATGCACTTTCTTCATCAGCCACTTGAGGTGGCTCAGTTTGGGGGTGATGTCTTGGAGTAGAATGATACTCAACATTAGGCCTGTGAGAGCTTTTTGCTCTAAGATCGGTGCCAACATTTGCACTAGCAAAGGAAAAGCGACGCTTTGAGTAGACGGTCTTCATGTCACTAATAGAAGCCCAAGGAGTGTACTCTATAGATGTGCCATGGACCATTTCCTCCACTACAATTGCCACTATTCGTGTTGGTGGAGTCACTTTCTTCTTCATCCAATTGTATAACATCTCAACTGAAGGTCTTGTTCCCATGTATCTTCCTTCCTCAAATGCCAAGGCTTTTGAAGACTACTCTATAATGCGTATCAAATCTTATAGACATGCTTCATATAAACTCATTTTCCTTTTCCTTACCTCAGAAGAACATTAGCTCCAATACTTACTCTCTAAGAGATTCACAGTTGGGGTGTATACAAGATCCTCAAGTGGTTGATCTTTATAAAAAGATAATATTAAAAAGCAATAAAAAGAGAGGAAAAAAAGAACAACTAACCTGAAAAGAGTGATGTCCCCATTGGAACATTTTAACTTCCCACCACCCCAACCATGACTCAAATTGTGGTAAACAATTTACGTCAGTATGGCCATCTTCATGCCACCATATTCAGATCTTTTTTGTTTTTGCCTCATGCTTTTCTTCAAAAGGTGCAGCCTACCATTGTTTGCACAATTCCTTAAATGTTAATTGGAAATTTGGTTTGATAAGGTGGCACTATTGGTTTAGGCTCTGAGCCCAATGGAACTCACAAGTCTTTTCACGACCTTCTAAGGGTTGACCATTCCCAAAGATTACCCGGATACCATTCCAATTAGCCCCAGCCCCATTTGCCATGAAACTATAAAAGTTGGCAGGCTTACTAGTCCGTTTCAATACAATGTCGGAGAGGGACTTCCAAAATATTTCCTGAGCCATTTGGTCTTGTACTTTAAACTCTGCTGTTGCAATTGTCAAGTTACAATGTAGCTTGTGAAAAAGGGTAATGCTTAAAACCATTTTAAGATAATGAGAAAAAAAAACTACCTCAGATCATACACATGAGCTCCCATGGTTGTCCAACCTGCCACCCGCTCCATATGGTCAAAATGTACCCATGCATTAGCAAGGTCACTCAACCCAGACATATCCATTCGGGAAACAAGATCTATACCAGAGGCGGGGCCCATGATAGACATTTTAAAAATGAAGAGACGCTCTTACTCACTAATGACTTGATCTGGAAATAAACTCTCATGGATAAACTTATAGGGACAAGTCCGTTTTAATTCAAGGATTGAGTCGATTTTTTATTGGAGTTCCCCTCTCGAGATTCACACATCCAAGACTTTATCCTAAATAAAACAAAATGTAAGAGAGATATTATTAAAAAGTATGTAATAATATTTTCATACCTTCTGAGGCTAGTTGTAGGTTCCATATGTCATAGTAACTCCCGCAAGCTAGTCTCATCCAGTTGAGTATTCTTGCAGTCCGAATTAAGTAAAGTGTTTGCGATAAAATCCTTGAGCACTGTCTTTTGAACATGCTTTGGAGTTGTAGATGAGTTTTTCACAGTCTCTATCTGCACTGCATTTTTGAAACAGTTGATTAAACTCCTTTGTATCCCTTCCTGCATTGGATGTGTGTGTGCCAATATGTACTGCAACTCTACCAACCTCTCCATTCTGTGGAAGAAAATAGTACATCTTGGCCCCATAGATGGCATGACACAATGGAGCATTCTTGCAAAACCAACACTTGAATTCAACACCAATAGTGTCATAAATGGAAGGATTGGTTGTAGATCCTTAAAAAAATGTGGATTTTTTACCGCGCTCTCGATTGCATGCTTTATTCACACAATCAAAATACCCACCACAATGAACCATGGACATTATGCCTTCGAAATGCTGGAAATGTGTGGTCTTGATCTTGCATCAGTTGTGGATGTTTTACTTAGTCTCCATCCCCTTCTGTTTTGAGTTGACAAGAGGTGGTAGTTTAAAGAAGATATTGCCATTGTATGTAGATGGAGCTCGCTAACGGGCCTATGCAAAAAGGAACGCATATCGATAGAGAAGTGGGAAAACTAGAAAACATTGCAAACAACTTTGAATATTGGTAAAATTGGAATTTGGAAATTCTTGGTTCGCATTGGACTAACATCTCCACTAGAACTAAAAGAGGAAGAAATGATGATGACCGACTCTTGCTTCACATTCACTTTGGCAAGATTGCAGCTTTGCACTTTGATTGGAGATCCAAAAACTCGAATTTTCTTCGACTTGGAATGTTGCAAATCTCAATGTTATCCACTTTCACCTACACTTGAAAGAAGAAACTCCAATTGTTCAACTACACCAATGTTG